ATAAAAAATATAAGGGGGGGGGGGGGGCAAATTGACACCAAACAGAAACATTGTTACTATACTAGACAGTAATGGCATTTCTAAATAAGTGCATGCCCACATTGTGAGGGATTAAGCTTTAAAAATAGCTGTCAAATATATTTTGAATAGGTTAGAATAACATATAAAAATTTAAAAATATTATTTTTACCCTTACATCATTGGGATCTCTGAGACCCAAAACACAAAAGCAGTGAAGTAAATCTCAACAAGCCATGAGTGTTAATATGACTTCCAAAACCATTTTAAAAAATCACCAAAATATTTGTTTAGTATGTAGTACTTGGCCATGGCGAAGGGGTTACCCCAAATTTCCTTACCTGTTTAGAAGCTCAATTAAATCTGAATATTGTTGTATTCCAGTGAGGGTCTCTCTTCTCAACTAATGTTGTCACTAAGTGGTCCACGCTCACTGTTGCGAGTGCATCTCTAAGTAAAGAGCAGCCCCGTAAATTATTGTCAAAATGGGCTACATGGGCAGACACACTGAACAATGCCCCGCAAGCCAGGCAATCATTCACACAGAGCATTGAACAACCTGGATATCTGCCACGAACTTGCTTGTAGTCATGGAAAGCCTTTTATTGTAACCTTCCACAGCAGCCTGATTTGCTTATCAACAATTATGGCTGATGTCCAATGCAGTCATGGTTAATCAAATTTATTTGACCAGTAACATATACATTTTTTATTTAGCAAATGTTTTGCTATATGGTCATTTTTGTTTTTCCAACAGTGCTGTAGAGCTTCATTGCAAAGGGCCTTAGTGTGTCACGCTGATCTCTTGTATTTGAGAGATAAAAGGTGCTGATCTCTGGTTGCCAGTGGGTGGTATCAGGCAGAGCCATCTGTTTCCACTGCATTCAAGAGGAAAAGGAGGGCTAAAGTCACATCCAAACACAAGCAGCTCATGAAACGCACCTCTGTGCAGAATCTCTGACTCACTAAACCAATCTTAGCAATGTCAGGGGGCTGTTTGACCAAGAACAACTCATTAATCCATGTGAGAGTTATCTCAAAGAATATCACTGACAAATACTTTATATCTAATGGAAAATTTGTTGTTCATACTCATGATAACCTTTCCACCCCAAACTCTTCTCTTCTCCGTATTGTTTTTAGTCATGCGAAACACAAGGACATTTGTATTGAAGTTGAAAATAAATGACAGACACACAAAGGTCAGCAAGTTCCAGCATGTCTGGACATGTCTGCAGATGTATCAATAAACTAGAGGAGTTTAAAAAGTGCTGTCAAGCCAAAAATACAAACAGTGGAGGCAGTTGAAAAGGCAAGACCTTTGAGAGGGGAAAACCATAAATTGTGTTTTCATATAGACAAAGAACTCTCCTTTTTCCATAAATCAACTAGTAGATAGTTGCAGTTCAGAAATGAAACTTTTACTTTTCTGAAGAAAAAGTCATGTTTACCGCAAAATGCTCGCCAGAGATTGATAATAGTGTTTTGGGTGGTTAGGTGTTGCTATGCAGTTGTTTTGGGTGGTTGTTAGGTTGGAGTGCCTATCTAAAACGATTAAAAGTATTTTTTGTTAATTGAAGTAAACTTGAAATAAAATAAAATATAAATATTACTTTGGCAACTAACTGAAATAAAATAGGTTTAAGTTGAAGTAAAACTGAAATAAAAAATAAATATTTTAAAAATAATTTAAAGAAGCTGACAAAAAATAACAGAAACACATGACAAAATTATTAAAATAAAAACAAAAACTGAAAATATAAAAATAAATGTTAATTTTTTTTTTTTTATAAATACTAAAATGGTATGCTGTATGAATATTACTAAAAAAAAAACACATCTCCACATCTCTTCTCATCTCTGTATGGCTTGGGTCCCTCCTTCAATGAAATATGAGATTTTTGACCGTTTGATGAATTATATTCACTGGAGGAGATGTTGCATTGAAGTTTAATATTTAGGATTAGGGGTTTGTTCATAACCTTAGCAAGCAGCACTGAGACTGATGTAAAGTGTCAACTTGATCTAGTTCAACATGTGATTTTGATGCACACAGAGTTAGTAGCACACATTGATACAACAATACGAAATTCAGCACCAAGGTTAATTTTTTTTATCTGTACTCAGCGGGCCTGTACCCAGCGGGCTCTAGTGTTACACAATTTAAATACTATGCACTTCAGGTCTAATGATGTCAGTCACCCAACTGAAACATTAGAGTAGCACTGGATCAGCCTGTACTCAGTCTGGAGCTGAGATAACGGAGACCTTTTTCTTGTCAGGACACAAAAGTCAGAACGAACTTGAACAAATTATTCTTTCTGAATTGTAAACCATTCACTGAAAAGAACTGGCTTTTTAAGCATTTTTGAAACTTAATAGTCACTTTAGACTGTCAGTGAGTGAAAATATCTCATTAAAATAAAATGTCAACATTTTTGTTCCACAGATGAAAGAAAATCATGTACATTTGGAATGACATGAACAACAGAATTTTCATTTTTAAATGAACAATCCCATTAAGAAAAAGCCACAGTAGAGATCTATTAAAGTAATGATAATTTCTGATAAAGGTACCACCCATCTACAAGTCAAAACATTTTTGAGTGAGATTTTTAAGTGGATAGATGTGTCAATTCAAAACAGCTAAACAGATTCTGTTCTCCACTACGAAATATAAGATGGTACAAAATATAAGAAAGCCTTTTAAGGATATTTAATCCATAGTTTAACAAAAGATGCATGTTCAGACTCGAATTGATATTTTGAACTATTATCATATCAAAGCATTCTGTTTCTCTGCATTATTCATTGAGACCTAGACTGATGCATTTTTCATTGACTTTAATCATGGTGTCAGATTAACTTCTTTTCTGAATCACAATTAAATGTACAATGTTTCATACAAAAAACATGTGGGTGTGCTTAGTGTGGCACGCAGATGACACGACGAAGAGACATAGGGTTTAGTACGTTTTTTTTTCAGCAAGATGCATTCAATTGATCAACAGTGACAGTAAAGACCTTTACATTATTAAAAAGAAATCTATTTCAAATAAATGCTCTTTTGAACTTTCTATTCATCAAAGAATCCAGAAAAGTATTATTTTCAACATTGATATTAATGAGAAATGTTTCTTGAGCACCAAAGCAGCATATTAGAATGATTTCTGAAGGATCATGTGACACTGAAGACTGGAGTAATCATGCTGAAAAATCAGCTTTGCGGTCACAAGAATAAAAATAAAGAAATAAATAAAATTAAAATCAAAAAGTTATTTTAAATTGTAATAAAATTTCACAATATTACCGTTTTTACTGTATTTTTGATCAAATAAATGCAACCCTGGTGAGCATATAAGAGACATTCTTAATGTTTAAAATGTAACAAAAAAAAGACTAAAAAATCCAAATGTATTCTAATTGTTAATCAAACTCTTTGCTAACTTTTAAACCATGGTGAAAGAAAAGAAATGCCTGCTTTTTAACCTAAACATA